CGTGGGCAAGATGCGCCGTCCGTCCGTCCATACATCACCAGGGCAGGCTGTTCCCTTCCCAGTCGAGGAAGGCTCCAGAGGTGTCCTGCGAGAGGCCGGCCAGCACGGTCAGGATGCCCTGCACGCTGCGCTCCACCGTCAGGGGGGCCTGCAGAAGAGGACGAGGTGTGGTGTCACTGTCCTGGGCCATCACCAGCACAGAAAGCAGCCGGGCTCTCTCAGATTGGAGGGTGCACGGCCTGGGGGGCATTTTCCTGCTGGGTTAGGAGGGACCAGGGCTGGCAATTCCCGGTGCAGCTCACTGATTTCATCCAGGGAGATGGTCCTGGCAGTCCGCAGCATCACCCAGTGGAAACTGCCTTCCCCAAAAGTGAGGGTACAGTGGGGTGTCCTGCTGACTCTCCCCTGCGGAGCCCGGTACCTTCTGCGTGCCCATGTCGGTTTTCACCCAGCCGGGATGGATGGCTGCGCACAAGACGCTCTTGTCTCGGAGCTCCACAGCCAGGCACCTCGTCACCATGTTCTGGGCAGCCTGGAAGAGGCAGCGCAGTGCCAGCACCACCTGGGACACGGGTGGGCAGGAGGGGGGACATTTCCCAGCCAGAAATCGGCTGTGGAAGTGACAAATGGCCCTGGGGTAAAGCAGGGACAGAACCCAGCTGAAGAACTCAGTCCTGGGAGCTGCTGGATCGGTCTCCGTCTCACTGGGAGAACCAGGAAGGGGCTGTGGGCATCCTGGGGAATGTGGGTGCCCCCACGGTGTCCCCACGCCTGGCTCCTCACCTTGCTGACACGGTAGGGGTACATGGGTGCCTCCAGCACGCCGAGGCACAGCCCGATGGAGCCCAGTTTGGTGGAGACGTTGATGATGGCGGCCCTGCTGCAGCTCAGCCCCCGTTTCCCCGCAGCCTTCGCCGCCGCCTTCTCCAGGAGCGGCAGAAATTCCTAGTGCAAAGATAACGACACTCTGCCGATAAGCGACAAGCCCCGAGGTTTAGGACAACCCCAGAAATCTCTGTCGAAGACCACGGATGAGCAGCAGGACAGACACCCCTGGCAGAAGGGCAGGGGAGGGGGAGGACGCCCCAAGGAGATGCTGGGCTCCAGCTTTTCCCTTCCCCAAGGAAAGGCAGGAGCTCCAGCTGGGGAGGAGCGAAGCGTTGGGAGATGCTGGGGCTGAGCTGCACCCTTGCTCCTCTGGGTGGGCAGAGGAGATCTGTGGTGCTGGTTTTGCCTCCTTCAAGAGAACCCACCATGCTGAGGGCACCTCTGCTGTGGGGAACATCTGCCCAGGCAGGAGAAACCCAAGAGGCCCACGCGTACCTTGGCAACCTGGAGCGGCCCGACCACGTTAGTGGCGAAGACAGCGAGCATCTCGCGCGAATCCAGCGAGCGGAGCGTGGCGTGCGAGCTGACGCCCGCGTTGTTGATGAGCAGGTTCAAGCCCTGGTCCTTCAGGTGAGAACTCACAGCCCGCACGGCCCCTCGGACGCTGGGCAAGTTCACCGTGTCTGCTGGGGCAAAAAAAAAAAAAACAAACAAGGTGAGGAGAGCTCTGGCAGGTCACATAACCTCACTAAAATTGTGCTGCGGCTCTTTAAACCAGCATTACCCAGAAAGAAAGGACGGGGTTTAGCAGCTCGGGGGTTAAGCACGTGGAAATGAGCAGCAGCTGGTCCTCACCTCGTGGTTCTGCAGCCTCAGCTGAATTAAAACTGGATCTTGCTCCTTTTTGGTCGGATGTCTGTTCTGACTGCTCATTTAGAGCTATCTTTGCCCTTTTTTTAACAATTAGGGCTCAGATTCATCTTCCACGACACGACTTCTCACTGCTCTGAAGCTGTTTGCATGCAAAAATCCTTTTTTTTTTTTTAATTTTCCTTTGGTTTAGATTTTTTTTTTTTTTTTGCTTCGGGCAGTTACCGATGAGGATTTGGACCTGACAGATGAGCCGAGGTGAGTACAAGTAATAAAAGATTTGGGAAATAACCTGCAGGGTCTGCTTGCAGGCTCCGAGGCTGAAGTTCCCCATCTCTACAGATGCTTTGGCCAAGTTGTGAGAACAACCCTTCTTAAGTAACCAAAACACTGTGCTAAGAGGGGGAAGCACTTCCAGTGCCTTTTTCTTCATTTAAATATTGATATATTTTTGAGAGTCTGCCATGCTTTATTTGCATGGGCTAAAGTGATAGGAGTGGCTTTTTTATTTTATTTTTAAGTTTGCTTGTTGGGATGTGCGTTCCCTGCCGGGTTCTCACCCCACTGAAGTGACCATCAGGGCCATCTAAACGCCTTCAGGATCGGAAATGGGTCGGTTAGGCCAACACTAAGCTTAATATATCCCCCAAATATACCACCCAGCCCTGAAGAACCATGAATAGTCACGCGTACGGGCATGTCGGAGTGCGCCTTCGCTGCCTGCGCACATTTTTTGCAGGTACTAATCTGATGAGGCTCCTGGGGTGCAGAAGAGGGGGGATTGCAGATTTGGGTTTTTTGCAAACTTTGGCCCCCGAGCCGTGTTTTCGTTCCTGTGCTTAGCCACGACTGGCTTAACGAAGTGTTCACGAGGCTGAAGACTCCCACCTTGGAGCTTTTTGTGCACCGATGAGCAGCAGATGAGGGAAAATCACCTTTTCATCCTGGAATTTTTAACTAGCTTGGTGTCTTTACGTCAATAGGGACGTAGGTGAGTGGCTCGGGACTTGTCACCACCTTTGCCTTGTGCAACGTGGACCTTCAAAGAGGTGTCACGAAACCATCTGGGGGGATTTTGAGGAGATGATCTGCCGCGGGGCCGCCG